TATATAGTATGCAAATAATTATTATAATTTAACAAAGATTAATGAAATTCTTATATTAAGTTAGAAAATTTCTTCGGTAACGAAATAAATTTTCTTATTTCAGTATTTGTAATCTATAAAAATCGATATTCGCATACAAATCTGCTGTCCATTGATCGTATTATATTATAATATTACAGTAAATCACATTGAATATTAAAGCAATATAAATACATAAATGATCTTAATGTAGAGCTGAACATTTGTATAATCTATTTGCATAATATGCGTATGTACATAGAAATGTTGAAAGCAACATGAATGAATAATATATAACATAAACCAATGTCAATTTAATATTAGTAATCAGCTCTGAGAAAACTAAAATTAACAATCTTACTGATTACTAATAAATCCTTTAAGGAAATTCTATCTAAAAAGAAAAGAATGCTCAATAAAATTAGTAACATAAATAAATTCATATTGTCCCTGAATCGCACTTTGACATTAAAAGATAGTGAAGATTCCTATTAATATTCTCACTAATATTGTTGGAGCATCATTATTTTCATACGGGGAATAATTTCGGAATTTTTTAGGCATAATTTTGCGGTATTAAAGTAGGCAAACTTTGCAATATTTAAGTCGATAATACGGTATTACTAACAACTGTTTACAGTATCATATTGAAGTAGATTCAGGATTTAATCCTTTTAACATGTAATGCTGTTGTAAACGTTTCAGATTGGCTGATAAATATGCATTTTCTATATACAAATCTTTTACTAGTAAGTCAGTTCGTACCAATCGTTCTGCCTGTAACAAATAACAAAAATATCAAAAATGATTAATGCCATTATAATGTAATTGAAATAAATCACACACTGAATACTACAGTTAAATAATATAACCAAGAAATTATATATTTACTTCTGAGTAAGAATTTAAGTGTGTAATAGAATGTTTAAAAGAAGCGTATACCTGTTCCGCACTTGTTTGTGATTCTATTTGAAGCCGTTCTTGGGTATTACGTAGCAAATACTGTAATTGTGTGACTTCTAATTGATGTTGAGATATAATATCTAAAATAATATCACGTGATTTATTAAATAATTATACCAATTGTTACTCAAATTATTATAATGAAAATTGTTCCAAACATAGCCAATTGTCAAATATACAAATTGTCACAATGAAATTTTCTGTATAAAATTATGATAAACTTACGTTGCAGTACACGTTCAATTTGGTACTTTTGTTGCTTAAAACATTCTTGCAACTGATGCTTTTTATATTCTTGTGCCTGAAGTTTCATACTTAAACTCTGCAATACATTCACATTAACACAACACAGTTGCGGTTGTACATCATTTCTCACGCACTGACTATTTGTTGCTTTCAAATTCTGTAGTTTACATGAATCTTGCATTAAATCATATTCTATGTTACGCATACATTCTTCTTTTGGAAACTTTCCATTAGCATCTGTCATCTTCCATTGGGATGCTGGTTTTTCAATCTTACATGTACTATTTAAATCTGCTATAGAATATTCTATAGACGTTTGACGTGAATTACAATCGGTAAGGCCAACGTGTTCTTTTTTTACTCTGGGAATGAAGTCACTGGCTAAGCCTGAAGATTCCAGAGTTCGATTGAATTTAAATTCTTCCGATAGTTTACTAATATTATCATTACATTGTGTAAACTTAGATGTAAATTCAGTGGACGGTTGAATGTTGAACAAATTATTAGGAACATAACTTGATTGTATTAATGGAGAAAACGAAATAAGATCGTCTGTTACTTGAACGGATATATCAGTCATTTGCGGTCGTTCTAAAGACTTCAATTCGCGTAATTCATCGATTTCTTTATCTTTTTGAAACTTTTCTTTTTCTGCTTGCGCTTTCCATTTTTCAAATTCCTCTACAAGATCTAAATACTGCAATGAATAAAACAATACATATTTCGATACGTAGTAAATTAGAATAGTAAAGAATATATTATGAAAAATGAAGCATCCTGTTAAAATTAAAAAAACTAATAAAAACAATCATTTGCATAACAGAAATTTTACTTACTTGTTGTTCTAAATTAAATTTTTCTTCAATTGGAGATAAACGACCATTATTTTTTACTTTGTCTATTGGACAAATTAATTCTTCGTATTCTTCCATTTTTGTTATAAGCTCTGAAAACTTTTCATCGCTAATTTTTTGTTCTTGTTCAAAAAGTTGTCTTTCTTCTTCCAGTTTAGCGGTCCAGTAGTCTTCGCATTCTTCATATTCAATTTTTAACAGCTCAAGACTTCTTTCCAATTCTGCACATTGTTCAGTTAATAGTTTCTTTTCTGCGGCATGTGTTACTTCAAGTTCTTGTATCCTTATTTTTAAGAAATTAACATCTTCAATCGATTCATGTTTTATTAAACTTGGATTACATTTCACGTTCACGTCATTAATGATTTTTATATTAAGCGAAGAATCTTTTTCTTTACTTGATTTCGAATGATCAACGGTTGTATGTTCTTCTTTGCGAGGAGGATAATCTCTAAGACTTGGAACTTTATTCTGTGATACATTTTTTGTGTCCGGACTGTTAAAATTATCATCGATATTAAAGTTATTATCATTATTATTTGTTACTGTAATTCGCTTAACAGAAAGGGAATTTTTATGTTTGGGAACAACAAAATCTCTTAACGATTCACTTGTTCGTTCTTCACATTCTGTATGCATTTCAGAAGCGATACTTTTCACAGAATCTGTTTCTTTAAAATTTGGCATATTTGATTGTAGTTTCGTAATCATTCCTGAGATTTCATTTCTAAACGTACAATTGTCTAAAGTGCACGCATCGTTGTTTGCTAATATATTTTTTAATTGCTTTGTAACCAAGTCTTTAAATTTTTTAAAATCTATCTTTTTATAGCTTTTTGTGTTCTCTTCTTCATTGAAAGTACAAGGCATCTATATAAATAACAACAAAATACATTAATTAAAAATGTATATTATGTTTTACACTTAAAAAAACAGCCTACTAAATATTACTTACAGATGTGGAATGTTTGAAAAGTACATCTAAATCTTCTTCTATATCTGCAGTAAATGCTCCTTTATCTAGTAACAGATTTTAAATATTGATCATATCACTGAAATATGAATCTGCATAAATGAAATAAAATATTTTTTTATTACCTTCAGTCTCATCTAATTGTATGTTTGTAGTACAGTCATCTTCTACATTATTTTGTCTGTAAGGATATAATACAAAATTAAATTCATTTCTTAAAACAAGGATATACTTCATAAAATATTTTAGTAACTTATATATTACCTTGTATCTTTAATATGATTCTGATGCAATTTTAAAGTTTCCAATTCTATAGTAAGTTCATCATTTTGATCTCGTAAGTAAACAGCTTCTGATTGCAGTTGTTTAATACGATCAACTAAAAATATAACTTCCTGTTGATGCTTCACCTCTATATCCTGCGACTAAATAGAAAAATACCGAATATTATTACAAATACAAGTATTTTACTTATATTTTCATAAAAAAAAAGAAGATGTTAAAGTACCTCATCGTATTCTGTTGACAATACTTTCGTTAAACTTCGTAATTCATTGTTTGATTGCTTTAACTTTTCTATTTTACTACGAAGATTTTCATTCTCTGCTTCTAGAACTTGATTTTCTTGTAAAGTATTTACAAATTTATTTCTGATTTCATGATTTTCTTTCTGCAATATTTGTAGTTGGTCATCCTTTGTCTTGAGAAGACTAGCATTTACTTCTCGTTCAGAACTAAGTTGATTGGAAAGATCTTGTACAACTTCGGTGTGACGTTGTTCAAGCTGTTTTCGCAAATTTTGTAGAACAGCTTCTTGCTGTGTATGTTGCTCGTCAATTTCTTGAGCAAGTGCATTAGCACGTTCATTAGCTTCTATGATATCTGTACGTAATTTCTCTTTTTCACCATTTTTATTCTCTACCATAAGGCTAAAAATAAAAATGATATTACTAATAACTTACATTTTTTTACTGCATATAATCAGTTAATAAATCTGTTACATACTTCAAACTGTGTAATTCTTCTTGATAAAGTATCAAAACATCTCGCAACAACATAATATGTGATCGAATTGTAGAATGATCTAATGAATCATTAAAATTCTTCAATTCTTCGCACAAAGTAGTTGTTAAATTGGATAAACAAGTTTCTGAAGATTTGATACTTCTATCTGATAATAAAGATGTATTTGTAAGACCAGAAACTTTCCATGCATCTAAATATGTATTATTTCTTGTAAAGCTGTTATTCCAGAAACAGAAAATAAATATATATATATATATATATATGTATATAAGATATCACTATATAATATTAAAAATATTAAAAACAAAACATTTATAATTTTTATTATGCAGTACCTAGCTTTACGAGATGTGTGCAAATCAAAAGTACGTTTCCTAAAATCTGATTTAATTAATTCTTTTATGGACTCATTATTTTTATCCAATATTAATTGTTCTTCCATGGCTGTTCTGTTTTGAAATATAATGAAAAATTCATCTAAACTGATTAATCCATCACAATTCTGGTCAAGTTTTTCAAAGATGCATTGTGTGATCTGTTTAGAATACAATTTTATATTAATTGAAAATGTCATAAACATGTCTATTCTAAATAAATCATGATAATAGAACAAAATACATGTACAAATAAAAAATAATTTCTACATTTTAGATAATTACAAATTAAATGAATAATTAATGCGTTTATTTTAGAGAAACAAGTTATATTTTGTAATTACTTGTTTTGGAAGCGCTGGAATTCCTAAACAATTAGATATGAAATACATTGTTGCACAATCTACATTTTCTTTTAAACAGTTATTTATCTTTTCCCACAAACACTTCAATCTATTTTCATCCAATGTTACACCTGAAAAATAATATTACAAATTTTTGAATAATGCTAATTCGAAATAAAATGTAAAAAATAAATGTAAAACTAAAAAGATATTAATTTTTATAAGATTTAAACGATATAGATATTATAATCACCTGTTTTTGGATTAAGAATATCTACAGTAGATCTGGAATTATTAGGTAATAGCTGGCTACAAATTTTGTTATCTACATTGGATGAATTTAAATTACTTTGTGACTCTGCTGCAAAATCTTTTTCGGTATGAGCAACTAATTCCTGTGTCTTGTCTAATAAAGTTAATAAAGCTGTTCTAAACTCTTGGAATGATATAGATTGCTTTTCTTGTGTGTGACGTTGAATACAGGATTTCAATTCTTCGCTTTGTTCCGTAAGATGTAATTTATGGCACAAAGTGAGCCAATTATCCTCTTGTAGTTCAGTTTCTCCTTTTGTCAAGCAACTTTGAAACACAGCGTAAAGTTGCTGCTCATAAGGGTCATTATTGTGTTCATCCATGGCATCCTTTCATTGTTTTTTTAAACGTTATACAATATAATAGATCTACAAGAATAATTATATTAATTTCCTTATTAAATGCATATTAAATTTGTTAAAATTAAATTAGACATAAACAAGGTTTTAAAGGTTTAAAAGAATAAAATCTAATCTAAAAATGAATATATGTATAATAAATTATATAAAATACTTCAAAATTTTGTATTACATCAAGAAATTGGACAAATGTATTTTTAAATATATAATTTTATTCATTTCTACTAATACAATTGATGTTATTTAATAATATCATATAAAAACAATTCTCATTATGAAAACTATAAGATAAAAAAAAATTGTAAAATTCTTTCTTTACACTTGTACACATTTTTTACATTTGTTAAAATTATCATACATTAGTTAATTATTATCGATATTTTCAAATAGATTTATATAAAACATAGTTCAATCATATATGCTTACATATTAATATGTAAACCTTACACTATATTAAATGTTTTTATAATTATTACTGCACATGTTCATATATAATATAATAATAACTATTAACAAATAATATAATTACGATAATTTACAGAAATTCAGCAAAATTTAGTATCTAGTGTATAATAATAATTAAATTTATTATATTAGTTTGATTTATCACTAGCTAACTAATTTATTTATTTAAAGATCATCATTAAATTCTCTAAGTATAACAAAAGCTATAGAATATGTAAAATATTATAGTTTACTGGTTACAGCATGTTAACCTAACAATTATGTGTCCGTGAAGTATCAATTTAAAATGTAAAGTAGGTTAACAATATAACTGTGTCCACAATAGTAATCACTGAAAGGTGTAACTCATTTCTACAAATAAAAGCTGTTCTGTTAAACTTTCGTTATTTCTAAACTGCGTAACAAACACGTTATAAAATACGTTTTACTTCTAGTAAGCCCATTTTAGACGTCAACACTATTTTGTGTAATTATACTATTAAAAATGAGAAAATAATAGTTTTCAAATAATAATTATTATTATAATTTTTTTCTTAAACGTGAAATGAACTATTAGCATTATACAATGATTACAACCTACCTCTAAATTATAAAGTTCGTTTCACGAATATAGGTACATATATGTATCTACATTTACATGGTATATACACATCACGAGAACTGTACTGACATAGGGACAAATGTATTATCTTGTAATAGTTTTCACGGTTAAATGATTCAGACAAAAACTATTTTGATTCCATTCAACCGTTTATCAGAATGTTTCGAACGTTTACTCGTGTCATACGATTATAACACAGACGAGATATAAGAATAGACATTACATGCAATGTAAAATTTTGTCATATGCTCTCGGGGGTTCTAGGACCCCCTTACCATTTTCATGTCACGCGCTCTCATATCGACTTAGGCTGGTTTTGCATGGCAACGCTATAAGTGATAGGAATCAGAATCAAAAATATTAAAATTTTAAATGACAATCAGTACAGTGTTGCCGTTATAAAAAATCCTTTATTCATTAAATTGAACGTTACAACGTGTCTCTTTAGCAGTAAAATATTGCAATAACTTAGAACAACGATTGGCAAAAACTTGTAATTATGGACACAATGTAGAATAAATAGATAAGCGGTTACTAGGACATAGCGTATAAACTGATTTCAATGGTCTAGTTTTTACAAAACTTAAAAATTTATAACAGGCTTAATTGTTTGCATTTATTTAAAAATATTTAAAACAATTCATAAAAATATAATATTTTTCATAACAACATTGTCAGATAATAAAATTTTATGTGTAAAATAACATGAATAAATTTTCTATAACGAAAAAAAACTTGTATTTTGATATTTGAATGAATTCAATCTGTTAACACTAATAATCAAAATAGGAAAAACTGTGATCATTTATATTTAAAAGCATATATTAATAACTTTAAAGCGTTAATATATGTATCATATAACATAAATTCATAAAATATCAATATGTAGCTTCGCGCGTTTGGAAGTTTGAAAATATGGCATATTGTAACGGATACGTTTGCATGCTGGTTTAACATATTTACTATTTAGTCAACTTCGATCATTTTGCTTGATGTAGTTTTCCTATTGACCGTTCTTTAGGCGTAGAAGGCAGAACAAAACCTTTGATTTTTTACACAGTCGGTAATTCAGAACATATGATACCGAGTTCCATAAGCTCACAATGTCTATCTTACACCTAGGCTGTGGTAATAATGAAAATACGCTTGTAGTAAATTTGTTTTATATTTTTAATAATTTAAATATAAAATATGTTTAAAAATTAAATACAAATATTGAATTAAATTGTATCTTTATATATAAAATATCAAACATATTTATACATTTTTTGGATAAAAATTATATGAAACTTTCATTAATAGTACATCTTGTAATGTTATAATCTCTGATTGTATTTTGGCGCGATGTGAATAACGGTGGCAGTCATCAAACACAACTGATTTCAATGTTCCTGCGGCTCGTACTTTTACAAATATGGGTATTACCGGTCTTCTTCCCTTTTTAGAAAAATCCTCGAAAAGGACAAACATTAATGAATTTGCTGGTAAAACTGTTGCTATTGACTCTTATTGTTGGTTACATAAAGGAGTATTTTCTTGTGCTGATAAATTATCAATGGGACAACCGACTGATGCGTAAGAATGTTGTCATTGTTTTACTACATTGTTTATTTGAAACAAAGTTTTGTATAATAGTCATTGTTTTTAGATATGTTCAATATTGTATGAGATTTATATATATGTTACTTAGTCATAAAATTAAACCAGTTCTTGTGTTCGATGGACGATATTTGCCTGCTAAAGCACAAACTGAAGCAAAACGACGAGAGTATGTCCAATTAAAGTTTATTATCGAAACATTTACTGAATGTACTATTTAAATTTTTATTTGCTATTCATAATTTATAACAACAAATAGTAATTAAGTATTAAAAGGAAAAATACATATATTTTTTTATTTATTTAATATAAATAATTATAAATTGAAAGCATGCAATCAGTTTTAATGAATAGATTTATTAACATTTCAGCAGAAGAAAATTTTAAAATGTACATTCAAAGTTATTTTCCTTTATATATTATCATATAAAAACAGAGAAGTATGTTTGATGGAATATAAAATATAATACTTTTAAAATTATGTGTCACATTCATTTGTACAGAGCCAGAGAAGCAAATCGTCGCAAAGCTGTTGAGTTAATGAAAATGGGTCAACATGCTGAAGGAAGAAATTTGTTACGAAGATCTATAGATGTTACACACGAAATGGCTTTAGAATTAATTAAACAAAGCCAAAAAATAAATGTAGATTGCATTGTAGCACCATATGAAGCAGATGCGCAATTAGCATATCTAAATATTAGTGGAATAGTTGATCTTGTTATTACAGAAGATAGTGATTTAACATTATTTGGTTGTACAAAAGTTTGTATTTTGTTATGTATAAATTTAGTGTTTTCATATATTATTAAATCATTTAAACTTGCAAATAATGTAATATCAACATGTTTATAACAATTTCACTTTTAATTAATCTTTTTCATATTGCAGGTATTTTTTAAAATGGATATAAATGGTAATGGCCTTTTAGTTGACCAAGAGCGTTTACATCTTGCTATGGGATTACGTGCAGAGCACTTTAATATGGACAGTTTTCGTAACATGTGTATTTTATCAGGCTGTGATTATTTACCTTCCCTTCCTGGAATTGGGTTAAATAAGGCAAAAAAATTTATTACAATAAATACAGACTGTGATATACATAGGGTAAGTCTTCTCAAATTCTATTTTTATGTACCTTCTAATTTTCAATAATATTTTATAATTATTTTTATAGGCTTTAACTCGATTGGGATCTTATTTGAATATGAAGTCATTAGTTGTTACAAAGGAATATAGAGATGCATTTATATTGGCAATTATTACTTTTAAACATCAATTAGTATTTTGTCCGTTACAAAGGAAACAAGTTCGCTTAAATCCACCTTTGCCTGATGTGACAGAAGATCAACTCTATTATGCTGGTACAGAAACAGATCCTGATACAGCATTGCAACTTGCTTTTGGAAATTGTGATCCATTTTCTTTAAAAATGCTTCATAATTTCGATCCTGACAAAATTAAAGTAACTATTAATATGTGTATAAATATTACTTATATATTTACAAAAATATTTTAATGCTGTTACTTGGACTGGAAATTTTCAGAGTCAAGATAATCATAATGCCTGGAGTCGAAAATCAATTCAATCTAAACATGTTAGCATTTGGTCAAAACAGTATAAATTGAAAAAGAATGACACAGAAAAATCTCACAGTAAGGATCTGATGACTTGGCCAAACACTGCCAATAAAGAAGTAATTCTTCAAACAAATCGCTTAAAAACGGTTGTTTTAGCCAAACAAAACGATAATATTGGTAAAAAAGTTTTTTTTATACATATAAATATTAATATAAGATAATTAAACAACTTCATAACTACATTAATCTTTTTACAGAATGTATAGACCTAAATCAAAAAGAACTTTTAGATATATATAAATCTAAGGACAACGAAGTAGAAAACAATAGTAAAATGGACACATCTGCTTCCGACGTAGAAAAAATATCTCCGGTTTTAATTAAACGAATAGTGCCATTTTCTCAGCAGATATCTACAAATAAAACTTCTCCAAGTCTTTTGTCCAAAACCAAAAGTCGCATAAAGGGAAGAAATATAATGCGGATTAGGAGAACAATTATAAACGATGAAATTATTACAGAAAGTAAATTCTTTGCTAAAACAAATGTCAAAAGTAACAATAATGTAACAGATGATGATACATCATGTTCATCTAGTAATTCAAATGAAAATTTACGAAAGAAAGAAAATACAACACTTGAAAGAATTGATGAAATTGATAATATTGATCATCAATCATTAATAGCAATTGATGAAATAGAAACAAACTCAGATTCTATGGATGTTGATGAAGAATGCAACACGTCGTTTACATCAAATCAATGTAATGATGTTGACAACTCGAGTAGTCCTTCTACTTGTGATTTAGGAAAATCATATTTGGACGTTCGAATAAATGAATTTGTTGTAAACAAAAATAGTAATGAATCACATATTTTTACTGATTCTTTAACAACATCAGAAACTTTTGAAGATCAGGACTTTTTAATTCCACGAGAAGATATAAATACTTTAAACAGTAATTTATTCCAGTGGTCTAACACAAAATTGTCGACACATACAAATAACAAAACTAAACATTATAAAAGTAAAAGGTCTGCAAGTTTTGATGTAAGCATCTTCTCAGAATTTCTTATGTAATCTCTATTCTATAATTTAAATATAATTTACACAACAAATATATAACACATTATATTGTTTATTTTAGGTTGTAAAAAGTAAAACAACTACGACAAACAGTATACGTAAAAATCAACAACTAAGTTCCATGCAAAGCCGACAAAGTTTATTAAGCACATATGGATTTAAAAGAAAAGGTAAGCATAATATATTATAATTTACAACAATTATGGTTGTTTAAATAGTTAATTAAGATTACATAAAAATATTATTTACTTGCAGAATTAATGTGAAAAATATTTTGTATTATTTTATAAGAGAAACGTATGCTGTGCTATACTTATAAAATAATTATTAAACAAGTACAAATACATGTCAATGGACTCTTATTTTATTATAAATGATAAGTGATAATGATAAGATAATATTGTTTCAATTATAATTCTCTGCAAAGATATATACACATTATCAAGAATAATACTCACAAACAAAATAAATTTTTTTTTTATAATTAACAAATTATTTTGTGCTTTTATTTTCTACATTATTTTCCTCTTCCCATGGTCTTGGTATTCTAATATTTTCCCAATTATCAATATCCAATTTCTGAAACATATTATGTTAATTATTTTTAAATTATGAATATTTAAATACTATTTAAGTGTCTATGTTCTGTGTTAATGTGTAATAAAATCAATTTGATTTACACTTATATTTATCAAAATAATTTGACTAATATATAAATGACTTAACATAATAATTTATTAAAAAGTATGGAAATTAAATTTGTATAGATGTAACGTTTTAGAATAAGTGTACTTACCTCCTTCATATCCTCATATATTTTTTCTAAACTCTCAGATGGTTTCATTTCAATACCTTGTGCTTTTGTTGCTTTTTTTACATCGTCGTACGAAATCGTCCTTCGGTATTTGTATCTAAGCAATCAAAATTAATTATATATCTTTTATTTCAATTATGTTAATGATGTTACATCATAAAACAAAAATTAATAGTAATATCGTTACCTTATTTCTGTAATTTCTTGTATAGCAAATGACCCTCCCACAACTAGTACCATAAATGGTACAAAATATCGAAATATTTTTGAATCAAAACGTGATAGCATTGTATTAAAGATTATGTTATATACCAATAAACGAAACACAAAGTGTGAGGTTATAAATGTATTTTAAATTCGGTACAAATAATTCAAGAACTACTGGAAATAGTATTTTAATTTAGATAACAATATTTCTTAGTCTCATATATTTATCAATATTAATAAAAATATTTATATTCATTTTGGAAGTACCGTTTTTTATTTATAATATTGAATATAGTACTTAAATACTTTCGTGACATGAAACAGTAACTAAGCCTATTATAGATTTCCTTAAATGAATTTTATTTAATGTGAATGATTTATAAAAGTACTCTAAGTAAATGCATGTATTTAGTTAAATAAATATCTAAGTACTCATTACACTATACAGGATACCAAAGGTGCTACATTGGAGCCCGCGAGCATTCTAGTGACACTCCCCTCATGAAAAGTTATCCACTCTATATCTAGGTACTTTTACTTGTTTCATTGAACACTATAGAACTGCTCATATACACAGTCTCGACACAGACGAAGTATAGGATAGCATTGCAAGCTTGGAGGACTTGGTGTCACATATTTTGAATTACCGACTGTGTAAAAAATCAGAGGTTTTGTTCTGCTCACTACTCTTAGATAACGGTCAATAGGAAAACTACATCAAGCAAAATGATCGAAATTTATTAAGTACCGAAGTCGACTATACTAAAGAATAACTGCTCGGCATATTTTATCTGGAACGCAGTTAATCCGAACCCAATCAAGAATCATCGGAATTACTCTATCGATGATAATGATGGTTTCTATGTTCACTAAGAGGATGTTGCTGCGAGAGACCCATTTGTATTTACGAATTAACTTAACCTCTTGCTCTTTTATTTCATAAGGAGTGACAAATTCTGGTCAAATTTTATGTTATTGTTTACTGTAAAGTGTAATAATTGATAATAGAAAAAGGTAAAATCTCAGTACATCTACATAGTAACCAATTTTAATAAAATCATCAAATATTGCAAGAATTGCATATTTTGAACAACTGTTTCCTTTGAAAAAAATTCCGCTGGCATTTAGTCTGAGAGATAATCGCGACAAACTTTTGCTACCACTAAATTGAATTCTTTATACATGAGAACGTCCGTGAGATAAGCAAATATAACCAATTTAAAAATCCGATTTACATTGTGTTTGAACTTATTTTAATCGCAACAATCTCAACAATTCATTGGCACTACATTTAAGAAAGTAAGATTGAAATTAATGAAATTGATATTTCCTGTATTGCATGTTTATATTTTGTGCGGCATCGTTTTGAAGTCTTGCGTCTTGTCCTTCGATGCTCGGAGAACTGTGTCCGTCTTACTTCTTCTCATTATACTCATTCTCCGACTTTGTCAAACTGCGCTCCGTGTCCCCTTGCCGCACTTACCTCTTCAGTTCGACGGAGAGTGAAAAGATATCATCTGAGGACAGTACATAAATAGTTCAGTAGTTGACCGTTCGATTCAGGTAGACAGAAAAATACATATATATGCACAGATTGTACGTATTTTAAGCTGTGTTCAATATTTATGATTCTAATTTCTATTGCTTATAGCGCTGCCATGCAAAACCAGCCTTAGTCGATATGACATGAATATGGTAAAGGTACCCCCGAGAGCGTGTAATATAATTTTACGTTGTATGTAACGTCTATCCTATACCTCGTCTGTGGTCTCAGACAGCTCCTTGAATAGAAGTAGTGGGAGAATGCTGTTTTCGAGTTACTAGTATAAGGGGAGTAAGACTCCTTTACTCAAGTATCAATATAACGCTCTCTATATTTAATTACCATGTATATGAAGTTTCCAATTGGTGAAGCAATATTACACCTTTCATGAAAGTACACGATTTATTTCTAGCGTTTAAAGCTTTCGAGTTATCAAAATTTTCACTACTATAGAATTTATGGATTATTTATTTGATTACAGATTAATTATAATTTAAAGATTTGTCAGATTTTTTATTATTAAAATTCATATCACTCTTATATGATTGATATATTTCTTAAAAATTCTTCACTTATTATTTTTTTATTTTATGTGTCATAAAATATTAATAATATTGTAACACCATTACAAACGAAATTATAGAAAAGTATAATTCAAATATTGTGTATTCGTTTTATGTTTCAAATTGATTATAATTCATATATACCTAACCAATAAATCTTCAGTAACAGTTCATCAATTCGTGTACTTACATCTACTTCACAAGAAATGTTAAAATAATAAAATTTGTACCTTCAGTACTTTAATTTTCATAATATTATCGTTGCCCTCAATGAGTTATTAATACTTAATAAACTAAAATAGTTGACATAATTATCAAACAAACGGGATGATTTTAATTATAAATTTCGAGACAGGTTAAGTTAATATAAAACATTTTTACCTGCTTCATTCTGGATACTATTTCTGCGGAAAACTGCAAAATGAATATTTTGCCAGGAACAGCGTCTCTTCTAGAAGAATTGGACAGTACGTATTTGCTTTATGAGTGTCAATTTTTAGGTTATGCCGGTATGTTTGTATAGTACATCCATTAAAAATATTAAATTAGAAATCTCAATTTACTTATGTTCAAGTAAAAAATACTAGTTATTAAAGAATAAACAGATAATGTAACAAAAGAAAGAATTTTACTTTTAACAAAGCAAATGATAATATAAGTCTTATGTTTTTTAATATGAGTATATAAAAAGTTTAAAAGAATTTATTTATTTAACCATCCTAAGTAATATATTCATTATTTTGTTTTAGAGAAACTTATGGTTTTACTAAGAGATGGTAGGACCTTGATTGGTTATCTTCGAAGTGTTGACCAATTTGCTAATATAGTGTTGCATCGTACAATTGAAAGAATTCATGTTGGTAAAGAATATGGAGATATTCCAAGAGGAATTTTTATTGTGAGAGGAGAAAATGTAGTACTTCTAGGAGAAATAGTAATGTTTATATTTACCTTCTTTAATGTTAAAAAAGAGATATATATTTATTGGAGCAATGGAATTTTATTATAGGATAGGGAAAAAGAAAAGGATTTACCTCTAACTGAAGTATCCGTAGATGACATTTTAGATGCACAGAGACGAGAACAGGAATTAAAACAAGATCAAAAGCGACTTGTAAACAAAGCATTAAAAGAACGAGGTTTGTCGTATATTCCAGATATGGCTCACGATGATATGTTTTGACCTACATCTGCATCTTTAACTACAGCTACTTTGTCATCCACCCCTTCGCATAGTTCTGAAAGCTATGATACATGTTATACATTGCTTTCTGTTTGAAAGTATACAATGATAACAGCTTACGAAGTATAAGTATATTGTATGATTGTGAAGATAGAAGTAATTATTACTAATATGTTTTAATTTTTTCATCAAACTATTATGATAAAACATATAACAATGCATATAGCATTAAAGTAACAACTGTTAATATGAATAATGAGAATTTATACAGTTTTAGTTTTATCATAACTTTGTATTGAGTGTGCAAAACACTTGCACTATAATTGTATCATATTTTTAATAGTCTTGTAACTTTCCTGCTGTACACAAATATTATATTTAAATAGAAATCTATTGCAACTAATACATATTTTTGTTTTTGTTAAAAACATAAGTAAATGTACTAACAACATTTATAAATTTATAGTAATTATATATTTTTTTTTGTAATTGATTTTTTAAAC